GGGGGGGGCGCGGGGTGCGGGGAATAGGGAGAAGAAACCTGAAAGTCTTTCACAGAAAAATGTCCTGGTCTTTCCTGCTAGTGCAATGACCTTTATTAACTTGGATCATTTTTTTCGTTCCACGTTATTTTGAAGATGAACTGATGTAACTGGAGTCCAGTTCAGTAAGTCTCAAACTTATCCCAGTTAGACTTATGGAACAAGATCATTTATATAGAAAGCAGCATTTTATGTGCTAACATGAATAGGGAAAGCTGGGGAAGGAAAATATGGTTTCTGATACTTGATCTGCTTGAAATCCTGCAAGTACAGCTATGGTGTGTTTCAAATAACTGCCTTACTGAGGGAAAATGTCTTACATTATTCAAATCCCTGCTACCTGATTTGAATTTATGACTGTCTAAATATGCTCTGTGGCTAAATTACAAGGCATGTGTGTATATTAAACCTGGTGACTGTGGGAAGTAAGTAACAGTGATATACAACTTAAAGAATGATCAAAACCAAGAGCTGATGTGACCAATGGACTCTAATGGATGTAAGTAGTTGGAGTGCTTGTCATCTATCCACATGATCCTAATGTTGGCAGCCTGTTGAAAGTGATGCGTGGGAAACTAGTGCAAAGTGCTGATTTATTTTATGCTAATGGAGAGAAGTCCATATTGTTCAAATTAAATCCTAAAGCAGAAACAAATCATCCAGCCAAGCCCATCCTATGGAGTTTCACTGAAACAGTTAGTGGTCTCTTTTGTGACCTCAGAGTTGTAAAAATTAAACAATGTTAGAGGGCTGCTGTTTTCAAGTGCTTCTGGCTGCTGAAAGCAGCTGAGATTCTTCTACAGATGGCTATTTAAGTTAAAAGCCAAATGGAGAGATCACAGCAATTAGTGCACATTGGCTTCTAACTGCATCAGAGTGAATAATGTGGGAGAAGTGAGCCAGGACTGTGCCTCAGTCTGTGCTTTTTCCCACCAAAGGCTGAGTACCAGCAGTTATTCTCAATTTAAAAAAAAAAAAAAGGAAAGGAGGGGGTAAAAAATAATAAGAGCGGCTTGTGCGTGGGACGTCTTCAGAGCTCAGCGCCGCGCCGGGCTCCCGAGGGGCAGTGAAGCCCACCGGGCTGGTGAATCTCACCACAGGGACGGGAGGAGAGCTGGCTGCGGCCACCGCGCTGAAGTCCTGCACGCTTTAGAGTCGCCTTGGCTTTCCGGCTGGAAGATGGTGCCTGCAACAGGACCGTGTTGCTGCTGAGGAACCTTGGGGTGGTTGGAAGATGCCTTCCTTGGGGATTACACGTGGAGAAAGGCCATCAGTCAAGGGGAGAGCCGACTGGTGAAACTGTCTGACTTTCCCCCCCCTCCCCACCCCCCTACTGGGGAAGTGGCTTCAATGGCTCCATCTCCCAGGAGAAGCAGTAGGAAAGATGCCAACGCCTTGCCAAGCATGTCCTCAACTTTCTGGGCTATCATGATCCTGGCTAGTCTCCTAATCGCTTACTGCAGTAAGTACATGTTTGTCCTGGTGCTTTTACTGGGCGTAAACCCACGCCCTTCCCGCCTGAGGTGACGCCACTGGCGCAGGCCGAGCGCTGAAGCTGGCAGGGGTTAGGTGCTGTGCCTTGGACTTGGCACCTCCACGCTTCTCCCCGCTCCCCCATGGTAAAGCTGCTAGAGCGACACTCTGATACTGCTGCTTTCTGGGAGCAGGAGGTGTCCTTAGGTCGGAGATGTGACATTTCCAGTCCAAACAGAAACATCTCTTGGATCTTAGGCGCAAACTTTTTAGTGGTAGTAACAGCAATCCACTGTTCGCTGTTTATCATAGGATGTTACCAGCTCTCTCCCAGTCTGCTCTTTCCACGTACACACTCTCCTACCCCCCTCCACCTTCCCTGAACAGCAGCTGTCTTGCTTATGTTCATTCCTTTAGGAAGCACATACTTAGTTAAGTGACAGATGTCTTAACATCACCGGGATCATATGTGATCCTCTGACTGTGAAATTGCATTGGAACACCCGGGCACTTCCTTAGCGTACCCTCAGCAGTTTGGTAAGCCCGTGCTGTCAGTTTTAGAGCTGCATCACAGGTTACCTGTAGAGTTTGGTATATTCTTTTTTGGGTTTGATAGATCGTCCACTGATCACACTGAGTTGCAGACAAGGTATCTGTAAGAATCAAGTGCCTGGACTGTTAGGACTTTTAAAGGTCTTTATTTTTTTTTCTTGTTAGTTTTTTGTTGCTCTGGGCAAGTGTCATTTGTAAGCAGTTATGTAATATAAATAGAGTTAATGCCCATACTTCTGGGGAATGCAAGTTAGTGCGTAGTTCCAGAGTGGGAATCTTTCAAAAACAGTAGAAAATGCAGTTTCTATGCAAAAATAAAAACAAAATACGTAATTTATCAGAAGGGACCTGCACAACTTTTCCAAAATTAATCTACACTGTATTTTCCCAACCTGAGCTGAATGTGGTCTGTAATTTACCCGTAGTGTGTGTTCCTTTCATTAGCTGTAGCATAAAAGACTTTGCACTAGGCTTGTCTTGTGGAGCTGTAATAGGTGTAGGTTTTGATGAATAGGAAATGGATTCTCATTTTCAGGAGCATGCCTGCTGCATTTCTTAACCCTCTATTCCATTCCCTCCAACCGTATTATATTCTCCATTTTTCTGTGTGGTGGTTTTTTTCTGAAACAAGATTGTAATTGGCTAAGAGAACCTTTAATTCACTTTTTTACATGTTACAGGGACTCTCCGTACTGACAACAGTGAAAGAGGCTTATTCCAAAAAGAATAACATATTTTGTAATTATTTTTTGTAATTTAGCACATTTTGCATTATGCTTCTCATGAAAAACCATATCAAACAGGCCACACTTTTAAATCATTTCATTTTGTACATAATGCCATATTCACCGTGCTAATATAGAGGGTATACTAAGCAACAAACTTGGATTTGAAAGAATGTATGTGCATACTGGGAGTTATGTGATTCAGTAAATGCATATTACAGGATGAATAGCTCAAGTGTAAAGGGAATTCAGCTGTAGATTAGTAATAGGAAATATTTTATCAAGTTTGTGCTAGAAATGCCTGGAGGGTCCCAGGCTTTTTATGATAAGGTATCAGTTCTTCTGTGCAGATACCTTGTATCAGCATAGCTTCAGAAAGAGTTAACTGTAAACTCTGGCACATTAAAAATTATTTATATTCAGCAGTGAGAGGTTTGACAATGTTCCGTTCTAAGGAATTAAGTTGTCCATTTGAATTGTTATATATTGTTCATTATTTATTTTTTGCGTTGTTTCCTGATACTGAACAATGCAAATGTTAGCTGATCATATGAAAGCAGCTTCTGGTGTGCTTAAATCACCAGTTTCTAATTAGTTCTCTCAGCCAGTGTAGATGGTGTTCCTCAAAGATGTAGTACACTCTGCATTCCATATAGTGCTGAAAAGCACCATGCAGCTTAAAATATGCAGTGTCAAAACACTCCACCATTTATGTAATCTTTCACTGATTTGATAACTGCAATTCCAAATGTTAATGAAGCGCCGTGAACATTTTCTGTAGCGGTAGTATTTGAAAAATTGCAAAAAATGTTCTTGCTCTGTCGAAAGAGTGAAGATTTTTAAAAATCAAGGCAAAAAAATGTGAAGCTATTTCTAGGTAAAGTAGTACTGCACATTTTTTTAATTCTTTTAAAAATCATCTAGGGTTTATTCAGTCTTTTTTTCATCTGGTGCCTTATTTTTTGAAGGGAAGTGTAACTGGAGTGAGGGGTGGGGGTGGGTGTCAGTTATGTTTTAAGAGTAATAGCCTTGCCATATTTCTTAGGAAATAAAAGAAAAGAACTTGACAATGTAAGGTGTTCTGTATTTTTCCACACACCTTATATTCAGGTATATGGAAGTATACCAACTTAAACTTCTGATATCAAGCAAACTTCTGTAAAAAAAACAAAAAACAATACAGGTGAATCCATTATTAAAGTAATTACAGGAACCTTCTATCTAATTATTTCTCACTGTATCATTTTACTACATTTACATCAAACCCTGCAACTCAAACAAAAAAAAAAAATTAAAGACTTTTACATATTTCTTTTTTTTTTTTAGGTAGTACTATAAATAAAATTTTTGATCTACCTTGCTTATTTTCATTTTTAGTGTATTGGTCTGAAAAAGCTTATTCCTGAATCAGTTATATGAATGTTGTTTCCCCTTCCCCTAATTGCTTTGTGAATCTTTGTTTCTGGGAATGAATTTGTTGTACAATAGTCATCCCTATCACTGAGAGCAACCAGTAAACAACATACTCTGACTTTCACTTGACAGATAAGTGTATTTATAAAGCGTGTTCTGGATGTATATGTGCATTCCATTAGACTTTCATTTATACTTTAATTTCTGAAGCCCAATTGTGTTCTCTTTGACATGGTAAAATCATAAACTGATAATTTTTTCCTTAAATGTTTAGATTATACTTAGGGATAGTGGCTCCATCCTATGGTGGAAGAGAAACCTGCATCAAATCAATTAGGTTAGTTGCTATAGTGATAAATATAATGTAATATTCTCCATCTGAAGAAAAATGGTCTGATTTGGTAGGTTCTCAACAGGAGAAGGCGAAAATTAAGTAGTAGAAATAGGCTGTTTATGGTCCTTGGTGTGACCACCAAGGAGTTAGTTTACTTAACAGAACCATCAGTAAATGTAAAAACAGTCTCAGAAGGCCCTCCTGTAGAGGGTGACCACCTTCAATGGCAGTTCAGAATTAGAGGAGTTGTGACATTTTTGGATCCCAGACATACATTCAGCATACTTGTTTAAGGAACAGTGGTAGACCAGAGAGAAGTACCTACAGTGAATTCTTTAAGTTACTGGTTTTATATTGTTAAGGTACATTGGGTTGTTTTTTTTCTCCTTCTGTAACTGGGATTTACATTTTTCCGTGTTTAAAAAGTTTGGTCAAATTAAAGAGACTTACTGTGGTACCAAAGCTGAATGCTACATCAGAAATCTAAAAATACCATGGTTTTGATTCAGAATTATTTCTTAGCGTATTTATTCAGTTGGCTTTGCTGTAAATACTGAGGTGTTTTATATGTAAATGATGACTTTTTCAACAACGTGATTCAGCTTTAGCAAGGTCATGGCTGTTAGGAGCTTTTGGCTTTCCTTATTTTATACAGTTTTGTAAGCATAAGAAATAGAACATTAGACCACTGTGGTGTTATGGGTTTTGCTGTTCTGTTACTTACAAGGGCATGCAAATGGGTTTTTTGAAAGGAACTACCAAAACTGAATGGTACTTGGAAAGTTCACCTTCTTTTAAGTATTGTCTACAAAAGAGAGCAATATGAAGCCCGGAATTTATGCTGACTAAATGGTGATAGTACTAGGAAAAAAGAATTCAAAAGTCCAAAATGCAAAATATTTCCCATAAGTCTACAGTTCTGCATTGTAAGTGCATGTTCTTTCACAGTAATAAGAAATGGAAAGAGGAAATGTTCTCCTAACTCATTATTTCTTTTGCTTGTAGAATACAAAATAAGAACATTGTAATGATGAAATACTGGTGGGTTCTAGTAAATTACTGATTCTGCGGTCTACTATTTAAACCTGTGGAATTTGTTCAGCAGAAAAAATCAATCAGCATAAATAACAAAAGCGTCTCAAAGATTTTGCTTGATATCATACAAAATACAGATAATTCCCATGAGAAATACTATATTGACCTCACCTTAAATTGAGATCCTGTCGTTACATATTGGGTGGACTTTGCTCATTTGGGAAACATTTTTTCATCATCCTGTTCTGGAATTGGTTTCTGTCTACAAGACACAGGCTACTATGGTCTCTAGGTCTTATTGTTTCCTTACGCTATTTGAGATTGCCAGCAGGGATGGCAATTAGCTGTGACTGTCACCTGGACAACTCTCTAAGAGGAGCTACCATATCATCATGCATTGGCTACTCAACAGCTGTTAGACAATAAGTGGTCACTGCTGATTTATGTTGGACGCAAACAAGTCATCTCTGAGTAAAGGCCTACAGCTCCTGTTACTCATCCTATATGATTTGGATCACTTTCTCTGCTTTTTACAAATGAAAAAGACAGATTTTTTTTTTTTAATCTGTCCAAACTGATTTGTAATTTTATTATGTTTTCTGCAAGAATTACTGTGCTTCTATTTTTTCCAAACTCTGCAGCCTGAATGAATGTGACATACAGAGCAACCATCATTCTTCAGACTTTTTTTCAGTCTCATTTGTGTATAGAAATAAAAAATAATGCTTTTATGACATTAAATAAGAAAAGCTAGATACTAATTTTTTGTCTCTTTATATAACATCCCAGCAGTGCCATTTTAAGAAGGTTCGTTTTTTGAATTAAAACCAGTGCTTTGAACTTAATGGCCTCTACAAAATATTGTCTGTCAATGTGAGTACCAAACTGACATTGAGATTGTCTCACCAGTTATGTTGTAGTCTGTCCAGA